ATTTTTAAATTTTTAGAACTTGTTTAAGCAGTTTTAGGAGTTCACTTATTTTTGAGATCTTGAACTATTCCGATACTTGAAAATCTAAATGAAGTATTCTTGGGGAAACATTCCAAGGTTCAAGTTAACAATATTCAATTATTTCAAAGAGAAACTCTCATGAATATATATTGCAAATAGAGAAGTATAATGGAGTTATGGAGGTAGATTAAGGTATTTATATCTATTATTTATAACATTTGTACGCATGTCATTATTCAATTGATCCATTAACATTGGTCCCTTGTCTTTGGGTTTTTGTTGAGCCTTATGCTAATATACTAAATTATTATGTTTTTAATTTTTAAAAATAAAATTTAAAAATATTTTATTATTACTTTAACAAAAAAATTAACAAATTCTATTAATTTAACGGTTAAAATCTTAAAATTTTTAAGTTCAAAAAATAAAATCTTCATAATATAAAATAATATAAATTAAATATTAAATATTTTAATCTTAATGAGATAAAGAAATTGTACCATACTTTAGCCTTAGATAACGAGTAAAGTTGGATAACGAGTAAAGTTGCAAATAAGGATTCCAACTTTACATTTTTTTTTATTTAAAGATGTTAACTTTGTCAATTTTTAAATAATGATGTCAACTTTCAATTTTTTCTAGATAAAGATGTTAATTTTTAACATTTTCTATTTAAGGATATTAACTTTTAATTTTTTCTATTTAAGGATTAATTGAATAGTGATACTCGGCTAACATATTTTTTTAGGTTAAATATCTAAATTGGTCCCTCAAATTTTATATTTGAACCAATTCATCCTTAAACTTAAGAAAGTACCAAAAATGTCCTTCAACTTCAATTTTCAATTTCGTCTTTCCGTCAGTTAAATGTTGATGTAATTAATTTTTTTGCTAAGTGATTGACTATTTTACATTTTCAATATTAGGTGGAAAATCCATCATGTAAAAGATGATTATATGGATTTTTTTAATTTTAAATAATTTACAAACTACTTTAATTCTTAATTTTACTTTATTTATATTTAAAAATTAAAGTAATTAATATATTTTCCCATTTAATTAGTCCTACCTACCATTTAATAAAATTAAATAAAATTTAATTAATTCTTCCATGAATTAAGAAATAATTTTATTAATTGAAAATTGAAGTTGAAGGATGTTTTTGGTATTTTCTGAAGTTCAAAGATGAATTTATTCAACATAAAAGTTGAGGGACCAATTCAAATATTTAACCAAAAAATATGTTAACCACGTCAATATCACTATTTAATTAATCTTTAAATAAAAAAAATTAAAAGTTGATATTTTTAAATAGAAAAAATTAAAAATTAATATTTTTAAATAAAAAAATATACAATTAAAATTCTTATTTGTAGTTTTGTACCTTTGCTATTTAGATAACTCTCGTTGTGATTTGTGAAGCAGGGGCAACAAGGACCATGACTAGTTGAGAGCTACTGTATATACACATAAGTCACACTACTTATCACATAGTTCCCAGAAGTTATCAACTTGTCTATCCGCATATGCCGCAGTGCTTATCTTAACGTCCGCCCGAATCGCCGTTTTGATAGGCCATAAAAATCATCACTCTTTGTCCTCTTTTCACAGTGATCTCACAGGCAGCCCAGAATAAAACTATGAAAAAAAAAAATTGAGCTAGAATCATAGACGATATAGAAATCTAGTTTCGATTTCTCAAAAATTCGCAATAATCAATCGCCGGTTTGTTTCTTGATCTCATCGTTCTTCTCCATTATCAGGTGAGCTAATTTCGTTTTCCATTTTTTTGCTATCAGCTTTTGAATTTCACCTCATTTTTCTTGAAATTTTGGATTGATTCTCCGTTTTTGATGTTCATAAATCATAATCGAACCTCGATCTCTTGCTAATTTCTTAATCTGATGTTTGATCATCCAGAACTTTACTGATTCTTTTTTTTTTTTAAGAATTGATCATGAATATGAATTTTTTTAAATTTAATTTAATAGTGTTGAGTTTTTGGTTCCGATTATTTTGATGGTTACAGATTTTTGTCTGTAGTGCTGTGTGCCGAATGATAGGTTTCATCTTGCATTGTTTACATTTGTTTTCATCTTCAATCGGAACCTTCTCCTTTGTTTGGTTTCCGAGAAAATGAAGTGAAAGTAGTGTCAGCATTCAGAGTAATATATTATGTCTTGATCTGATAAACTGAATGATTTCTCTTTATTTCTAATATCAACCTTTGGTTGTTTATGTAATAGGAGTTTCAGATATAAGGAATGGCTACACTCAATAAAGAGCTGGTTTACTTAATCTTGCAGTTCTGCAATGAGGAAGGATTCAAAGAAACTGCTCATATGTAAGTTTCTATCTCGCTGGCATGTATGCGTCTGTAACACATGCTTAAACTTGGATGATTTTAGATGTCTTTTCTGTTTTAAATGATATGATTTTCAGGCTTGAGCGTGAAAGTGGATCTTATTTTGACGTGAATTATTTTGAGGAGATGATACTGAGTGGAAAGTGGGATGAGGTTGAGAGGTATCTTTGTGGTTTCACTGAAGTGGATGAGAACAGGTTCTCTACTAAGATATATTTTGAAATCAGAAAACAGAATTTCCTCGAGGCATTGGACAAGTTAAGTTTGTGATTTTTTTGTTATGCATTCAGGTATTATGTTTATAGCTTTAAATATATTTTTGAAGTTGTTGATACTTGTACAGTAATGATCGGACAAAGGCTTTGGATATCCTTAGGAGGGACTTGAAGGTTTTTGCCCCACAAAATGAAGAGCTGTTTAGAGACATGGCTCATCTTTTAACATTGAATGATATCAGGTAGGTATCTGTGCACTAGTTTCTTGGTTTCATTTCTTAAAACCTAGCATTCCTAATGTGGCATTAACAGGATTCATCTGGTTTCAACAGGGAACATGAGCTCCTCTCTACTTATCAAGATACAGAATTTGCAAGGAAAAATTTGATTCTTGTGCTGAAGAAAGTTATTGAGGCAAATCCTCTTTTATGTGGAAAATTGAAATTTCCAAGCATTGAAAGTCAGAGGTTGCGACGCCTCATTAATCAAAGGTGAGACTTTCTATGTGCACTGCTTTGCTTTAAATCATTCTGATATTACATTATCTTTTGCTTTGAGACAGATAATTTTTAAATTTCTTCTGGTCCTTAATTCCATTCAAATGACCATTTTAAATTTGTCCACTTTAGTTTAATATTTATTATACAATCTGTTTTCTTCCCTTAAATTCATCCATTGAGCATTGACAGAGCTGTGATGAAATCTAACAGCCTGAACTGGCAGCACCTACTGTGTAAACATCCTCAGCCAAATCCTGATATAAAAACCCTTTTCAAGGATCATGCTTGTCAATCTCAACATGTTCATTTGTCTACCCAGTCAACTCAGACAAATCCAATGGTAAGGCAGGAAAATACGTTTTTGCTCTCCACCTATGCCATTGATTTTCTATTTCACCATTTGTGATGCTTATAAAATATTTGAAAATCCCACGTTTAGCCTTTTGAAGCTGCATCAGTGCCCCTCTCTCCAACCATTTCAAACTCTAGTCTATCCACTGTAACTCATGCTGCTGTTTTTGATGGAGATGGTTGTTTCAGTGGTGCAACAACCATAGGTAGTGATTTTAACCATTTCATTGGTTTTTTTTGTTAGACCCTGGTTCGAACTCATTTTACTTACTGATTCTATGCATCTGAAGGTCTCCTTGACTTTTCTACACTGACTTGGCAGTTGACACCTTAGGTAATCTCGAGGAATCTAAGATTGAGCCTCAACAAAATGTGTTTGGGACTGAAGATGAGGTAATCCAGATTAGATTTACTACAGCATCACACTATAAAAGGGACAATGTAAACTAACTTTGTTTGCATGTATGCATAGGTAATATCAACTGTCACTTATCCTGTTCAATATCATAACTCCGTCCCCAGAATTTCCAATGACTTGCTCAAGATCTCTGTGAAAAATGGTGAGCTTGAAAGTTTTGAACAAGTCAAAAGGTGTGACTTGCCCAAGAATGTTGCAAGGATCTTGATTGAGGACTCTTGTCCAGTGAGCATGGATTTTCATCCTGTTGAACAGATCTTTCTTCTAGGTTTGATTTAACCCCTCCCCTTCCGGGTCAAAAATGCAAAACCATAAGAGAAAATATTTATGGAAATGATTTCTTAAAATCTTGTAGCTTAGGCTAACATTTAACTAATTATTGCCATGATTCTCAGTTGGAACCAAAATTGGAGATATAGGCTTGTGGGATATTACTACTGGGGAAAAATTGCTTTCAAGAAATTTTAAGGTTTGGAATATTGGAGCATGCTCAATGATGTTCAAGGTTTGTCTCCTTGCAGACTATGTTTTATATTGTAGTACAAGGTCTTACTTAATTTGAGTGATATAAAAGAATGGTTGTTTTTCTGTTTCTTGTTATGAAAGCTTTATTAATCTCAATTTATTCAGACATCTATGATGAGAGATCCAAGTATTTCTGTTAACTGTGTTGCTTGGGGTTCTGATGGTTCCCTTTTCGGTAAGTCCAATGATTTTGGAGAAAAATTGGAAAACTGAGAGTTTTGAATTCTGTTAGCTGATGGATCCAAATAACACCTCTGTTCCATTAACTAGGGGTTGCATTTTCAAAGCATATTGTTCAACTGTACTCTTATTATGGTGGCAAAGACATTCAGCAGCAGTTGGAGGTATGTTTCTTCATAAAAATTTATCCTCATTCTAGAAAGACTGGTTTTGCTACTCTGTATGTGACATTAACTTTTTTCCCCTTTTAATTTCTTCATTATTTAGATTGATGCTCATGTTGGTGGTGTAAATACGCTAGCATTCTCTGCACCTAACGAGCAACTTTTGGTTATAACTGGTGGTGATGATAAGATAATTAAGGTGGTTTTTTTTTTTTTTTTAATCCTCTTTCTAAGTTAAATCTTTTAACATGAAATAATAAATTTTTACATAATGGAGAAAGTGATCTTTTACTGGTTGAATTTTTAGGTGTGGCATACAATTAGTGGAGTTCAGATGTATAGTTTTGGAGGCCATGAAGCTCCTATATATTCTGTCTGTCCTCACTTCAAGGAAAGTATTCATGTAAGAACTGCCTGATGATATTCGTAGTCTGTAACATTATATTTATCATGTTTTTAGACTGTTATTTGAGACATGTATGCCCTTTTCTCCAGTTTATCTTTTCTACCTCAGTGGATGGCCAGGTAAAAGCCTGGTTATATGACAATCTGGGAGCTAGAGTTCATTTTGCAGCTCCTGGACTTGGGTGTACAAGAATGATTTATAGTGCTGATGACAAGAGGTTTTGCTGGCCTTAATCCTGCCTATTATGTGCCATTTTCAACTTATAATTTAATGTGAAAATAAAGTTTGCTGTTGAATTGAACATTTCACAGGCTTTTTTCATGTGGGACAAGTAAAAATGGAGACTCGTTCCTTGTTGAATGGGATGACGGTGAAGGTGCTGTAAAAAGAATGTATGAAGGACTCTGCAAAAATTCTCCAGCTATAGTGCAGTTTGATACGTCAAGGAACAAGCTTTTGGCTGCAGCAGATGATCATGTAATCAAAATTTGGCATATGAACAAGGTTGAGCTTTTGACAACAATTGATGCAGCTGGAGACTTACCAGTAAGTTCTTTTTGACATGTATTATGTAGACAAATTTTCTGTATTCTCCTCTGGAGTTTAGATTCAGATGGTATATTAAGTGAAATTTCAGCAGAAATAAATTTTTTCCATTTTTTAAAAAAAGGTCTGCCCAATTTATACATTTGCTTTTCTCTTTGAAGCCAAATCCATGTATCCGCTTTAACAAGGAGGGCACATTATTGGCTGTTTTTGCCAACCAAAACAAAATCAAGATCTTAGCAACTGAAGACCAGTATCAGTTGCTGCATACAGCAGAAAATTATTCTGTTGATACCCCCCAAGATGTCTCCGATACTTTGAGAAAGGTCAGAATGTTAAACCTTCAGCTGCTGCTTTCAGTAGAAAATTTGACATCCTGATCTTTTTTATTTGTGCAGCCTGCAGTAAATCCAACTTCATCTGTTGATCAGTCTGGAAGAGCTGATGGGCACATGCTGAAGGTGAGCAATCATTACATGCTTGCATGGATTGATCATAATCTCTATCAAAACAGTTTAGCTGTGTCAATATGAAGTACTGTATCTAACAAGTTTTGTTTGTAGGACATGGAAAATAACCTTGTTTACAAAACCAATAACAAATCAGAGATTTGTAAGTTTGTCCAGATTAAACAGCCTTCTCAATGTCTGTCATTGTGGCTCCTTCCTCATGAGAAAGGAAACAAGGTAGATATTGATATCCCAGACCAGCTTTAGTTATTATTACTAAATTTTTACTGTGTTGTTTCTTCTGCCATGCTATGTTTCTTTTCCAAATTATGTCTTCAATTCTAGAAAAAAAATACCATAGGCCAGGGCATCTTCTTTCTCACCAGCTGAAAAAGGAAGCTTTGTTAGTGTTAGTAGTATGTCAAGGTGATACAAAATGCCACAACTACCCCCTTTGATGCTGTAACTTAAGTGTACTACTTTTACTGTTTTACACGGAGGTATTTTAGATGTGATGGAAATTATGAGTGCTTAATATTTTTCTTTTCCTGTACTCCAGAATATCAGAAATTGGAAATGGTTATATATGGTCTGTTGGAGGAAGTTTCTTTAAGAGCAAACTTTCTTGTATATAATTATTTATTCTACTTCCACCGTAGGATATATGTAGGCAAGTCATTGGAACCATAAATCTAAAAGGGAGTGTCTTTAGATCCATCATTTACTTGGAAAAGAGAAGGCATGACTACTGGCATTTCTGATGCTGCAAATTCGTGTTTGCTTTATTTGTTAACTGAAACAATGGTTGAAAAGAATAAAGAAAGATAAAAGTGAAAATTATAAGAGTTTATCTCTGATTGTTACTGTTGTCATCTTGACAACCAAGTCTTGTATAATTACCAGTCATCAGGATAGCTAGTTGATCTATACTTCTAGATTCAAAAACCTCAAGGACCGCAAACGCTAGATGGTCAATAATTTGAACCAAATAGTGGAAGTTCTAAAGAAAAAGCTTCAAGATTTTCCATAATTTCTTGGATTATTGACAATCTACTTTTCTGACTACTGCAGATATCAAAGCTACTCTACACCAACGCAGGTAATGCTATTCTGGCATTAGCATCAAATGGCACTCATCTACTCTGGAAATGGCCACAGAACAACTTTAATTCAAGTGGAGAGGTATTAGAAAGAATGAGGCGTTTCTCTTTGTTCTTTATGGTTCCTAATTTTGTTGAACACTATAACTAAAATGTTCTGTATAGGCAACAACTAAGGTTCCCCCTCAATTGTGGCAACCACGAAGCTGTTCAAGACTGATGACCAATGACCTTATGGGATGCAACCCTGAGAAGGCCGTGCCCTGTTTTGCTTTGTCCAAGAATGATTCATATCTCATGTCAGCATCGGGAGGGATAATTTCCTTGTTCAACATGTTGACATTTAAGGTAACCTTAAAAAATGATTCTAAGAGTCATTGCAGCACATTGCTGCTTACATTAGTATGCCAGTTGCAACAATGTGTGATTGATATAAAATGTGTTATGTTTGCATGGAAAATATATTCAAAGTCATAGATTTCCCAAGCTGCACAATCATGGTAGGACCTGACTGTCCTTTCTTAACTTTTCTTGAGCACAGACAATGATGACTATTATGCCTCCGTCACCTGCAGCCACTTGTCTAGCCTTCCACCCTCAAGATAACAACATTGTTGCTATTGGTATGGATGATTCAGTGATATTGATATATAATGTCCGTTTAGCCAAGGTACTTCTTTCTCTCAGAGATTCACATTAATCATATGTATTGTTAATGTTCTGAAGAGTTGCTTTTGTTCATGTAGGTTAAAGGGAAGCTTAAGGGTCATTCCAAAAGAGTCACTGACCTTGCTTTCTCAATCAATCTGAATGTGCTTATATCTTCTGGAGCTGATGCGCAGGTTTGTATTTCACATTTTGTTGCTTGCATGCCTGGGACCATAGTACTGTCTCAGACACAGTTCTTTTGATAATTAATCAGTAATCTCTGTCTTTTTGTTGTTTTTTTGGAACACTTTGTCAACTGTTATTCTCCCCTGCAGGTCTTCGTGTGGGATGTTGATGGATGGGAGAAACGGAAGAGCAGATTCTTGCAGATTCCTGATGGGACATTGCAGCCAGGAGGTTCAGATACCCATGTCCAGTTTCACCTGGATCAGGAGCACTTTCTTGCTGTCCATGGAACTCATCTTGCGATATATGAAGCCATAGATTTAGAATGCGTGAAGCAGGTTTGCTTCTCTCTCTTGCAAGGTATTCTCTTATCAGTATGACTATGATTGATTCTGGTAAAATTATCTCCTGTCTTGGCAGTGGGTTCCAGAAGATTCTACACGAATCTCTCAGGCAACATTTTCATGCGATAGCACGATGATATATGCCAGCTTTGAGGATGGAACTGTGTCTATATTTGGTGCTTTGACTCTACAATTGATCTGCCAGATCTCTGGCACTGCTTATCATCTTCCTAGAACAAGGTAATGTGATCTCCAATTAGCAGGTCATCCATCCTTCCTTTTTATTTACTTCACAGCTAATCCATATTCCTTCACGTGTTTTGGCTGCAGCTTAAATGTATACCCAGTTGCTATAGCTGCCCACCCGCATATCCCTACTCAGTTTGCAGTGGGACTTACAGATGGTGGAATAGTCGTTTTCGAGCCTAAAAACCCCGATGACAAATGGGATGTTCTACCGCTAGATGAAACGGCATGGCAGGACTATCTCGACTCTGATGACAATCACGGTTCAACTCAAACATATACTTGTTAAAAATATAATAGCATTGAGCCCATTTAAACTCATGTACGTACACAATAATGGAGGGAAGGGATGGGAATGGGGCTGCACAGGTTCGAACCCATTCAGAGAATGCACGCCGTGATGCACGGCTGTTCTGTCCTGAAACAGTTTGGTTACGTGGTTGCAATAAGATACATGACTTGGGGATTTTTTTTTTTTTTTTTAATTTTTTAAGATTATGACATTACACTAACTGGTCTCTCACTAGAACAATACTTGTCTTTTATTTCTCTGCTCCATTCATTAACCAAGTCTGATGACGGCATTGTCGTATATTACACGGATACACAGGAAATCAAGGGTTTAAGAAGGGGAAAAAAAAAAAACCAAGGGGTTTCTTAATTATGGGCCAGAGAGACGGGTTTCAGTCCTCTTTTCATAGCAAAAATTATGGGCCATGAGAACCCAAATTAATTTGGAAAGGTCCGTAAACAAACTCCCAAAAACCCGGATTTAGGTTTTTTGTCCCAAACAGGGCGACCCTGTATTCATTGAGGTTTTGCTCGATACATAATCCAAAGAAATGGGAAGGAGACAGATTTACAACATGCTGACATTATCAGCAGCATCAATGTATTAAAACAGGAAATTCATAACATAAGGGATTTTGCATATGCGGATAACTTAAAGACAACAGATTCAATTAAAGAGTTTAAATTGTTACAAGTTTCCGACCAGTGAATTCAGCTTAGTGTTTCTTACAGCTTCACGTTTCCCCTTACCACCTTGGCTACTGCAGATACATAGCTTACACTATTGTTCCCCATAGTTTTGCATTTATTTGACTGCTCATAGCTGAGGAATTTGATGATTTAATCTTTATTTCGGTTGAGGCCGAGCACTCTTTTAGCATCTGAAAAGATTTGAATGAACGAATCATAATACACATAATTATCCACCAAAATTAAACGGTATAATCATCTGGAAGGTCATATGCTATATTGAAGAATAAAAAAAAACCAAGGAGCAGGAGAAACATCCAATTCTAAAGGTACAGCATGTGGCCGGCGTGACCAAATGAAATGATTCACAATTTTTCTTCAGTATTTTAGGGAAAAGGGAGGAGGGTCAGAGAGGTTGATGAGGGTTCTGAAAACTAGGGGTTGAAACCCAGCCAAGAGAGTGAAAACATGTAAAGAGGGAATGCCGTATTGCCTTGACTTAGTTGGACCAGCAGAGACTTTCATGGAGGAAAACACTAATTGGATGGCGTCCACAAATAGTGTTGTGAAACTCCAACAAATAGTCTTCGAAATCATCTGGATCTCCTGTTTCTATTCTATTCATCCCCTTCTTGTCCAGGGCCTCAATTTATTTGTGTATGGCCCCTAATTTCTTGTCATAGTATGTGTAATTGAACCTGACAACAATTGCATACAAAAGTTTAAATATGTCAGACAGAACTTTGAAAACTGAGAACCGCAGAAATCATCATTCTTTAATGAACATTTTTCTTCTCAGTTTATAGATTAAGAGAGAAAAAATTCAAAATTTCATGCAGTGCATGAATTATTGATAGTGTGGAAAAACAAACCAAAAAATTGTTATCCAACATTTTCCACTCTGGAGGAACCAATAACTAGACAAGCTTGAAAGAAGAAAATCAATATACAAATATGAAGGTAAAGAAAAACTTAGGTGGAATGAGAAAGTGACAAACAATCAGGTACATTTAAAATCGACATACCTAGAACCCCAGTGACAAAAGTCCGAGGATACAGAAAAGAAATTTTTAGGATCATAAACATATTTGGCTAACAAACTTCCATATTTTGCTTCATAATCAGCACTGAGAACACCAACCAAAATGGGAACAACTTTCACAGGATGCCTATGTTGTTATAAACCCAAAATTAGTCTCAAGGAGAAGCAGCTATGCAACCTTGCTATATGATGAAATTTACCCCTTAAATACTTCGGCAAGATACGTCAAGTGCATTTCCATATTATGCTCAGTTTCATCAACATGAAGATCCATCGGATCAAATTCTTTAGTATCTTTGAGTTCTTTAATGACTGAAACATGGGGAAAAAAATCATTAAACTAAAAAGAGTTCAAAGAGAGGGAAAAACAAAAAATCCAAGTGAAAGCTCAAAATAAACTAAGCCATTTCACTAGATCATCTGATATTTTAGACATTTGCACCTTAACATCCCAACAACCTAGAAGGCAATATTACTCCTATATTTACCTTTCTGCTCCCTAACTCCTACTCTAATTTGCCAAGAAAATAAATTGTAATTATATAAAAAAGAATTGAAATGATCAACATAGGCAATGATATGTTTTGTTCACCAACCCACCAGATTACTTAACCATGTTTTCTTAAAAAATAAAAGGGAAACCATGGGCATATCACATCACATACTATCCAAGTTTGTCTAACATGAAAGGCGTGGAAGAACAAGAAATATGTTACACTTGAAAATGGAATTTAAATTATCATACCTCGTACGTCAGGAGATTTACTCAAACCAGTTTGCTCTGAGCCATCCAGCAAGCTCAGCTTCTAATTGATTTGCTGATAATGTACGGAAACCAAATATGGGTATCTCCTGTTAATGGGGAAGATTGCATACCCAGAAAAAAAAAATAATAATAATAATTACTGTGATTCATTCTTCCTTTCCTAAGCCCTTAAAATCACTAAAATTTAAGCTACGGTTTTCAGTTAATTGCCGGTTAACATTGATTAAAATGTTTTCATCAATGTCATCATCATGTTGGACACTCAAACACGCAGAATCAGCAAAGTGTTTACTAGATTAGAAATTCAACAGGAAGGTGAAACCAGCTATCTACATGCATGAATGAAGTTCGTTTATCCAAAATTCCTAAGGTATTCTCGGGAATCAAACGGAAGGGAGTGTATAATTAGGGGGGTAAATTAGAGTGTGCATTTGGGACTGACTGTTATCGGTGTACCAAGAACCTGCATGGAAGGCTCTTCGGATCTTGTCCAAGGAACAGAGAGATGGAATGAGACTTGAAAGCCCTAATTTTGGATGGAATTGGCTGTCCGTATTGGGAATTTTTGGATGATTCGTTCTTCTTCATGAAGGAAGAGTGAGATTATAAATATTGGGATTCTGATTCTGATGCAAAGTAAAGAGAAATATGAATCTGCTTTACCGTCTCTTTCAAAACTCTAAAAATCAAAATTCGGAAATTAGCGGGCTGTTGGCTTAACGTGCCACTTTTCCCCTAGATTTTTCCCATTCTCCAAAGAAAGGTAGAAACGATATTTTAAATTTTTATTTTCTTAACATAAATTTTAATGGGTAATTTTTTTTTTCTCTTAAAAAAAATTTCCTTTACATAAGATCTATTTAATAACTTTCTTGCCAACCCTTCTTCTACTCATTTCTTATTAAATATGAAAAAGTTAAAAACCTAACAAAATTTTAATAAAAAATTAAAAAAGAAAAAATTAGACTATCATTTAAAATATTAGAAAATCTAATCATAATTATATGATAAATTTGATAAAATTAAATCAATACTATATCCTATGTATTTAATAATTATGATTAAATATTTTCACATTTCAAATACTAAAATATCTTAATTTTTTCTTTTTCCTATCAGGATTATGCCAAATTCGGCAGCAACTGCTGCTAGAAAAACTCCAGCCTGAGAAACATCAGTCCCTTCCGCTGTTTGCACCAAAAAAAAAGGACAAAAAAGGAAGAAGAAAGAAAGAAACCCTTAAGATGATACCGTTAATGAATTAGGGGTGCATATGAATTCATTAACGATATTTTCCGTCTTTTCTCACTTCACGCTAATGTTTTTAGGTGCAGTCCACCTTAAAAAAAAAAAAAAAACCAACCACTCAAAAATAAATGTTCTCTTTTGAGGTAGTAATGAGAAATTGAACTCAAAGTGGAGCAAATGTGGAACAAAACTAATAGACAGTCTAATGAGCTTGAACTTGGATCAGATAAAAGCTAAAATAAAAAAAAATAATGAGCTTCTTTGAATACAGACTAGCAGATGGTTTTACAACCAATTATTATCCTAGCAAATGAATCAATCAGATGATTATACCCACTATCTCAAGCTATGAAGTATTATGAACAAAAAGCTAATACCCAACCAAAAGAGAAAAAATGAAAAAGAATGCAATGACATGCTTCAAGCCTCCATGGGAAAAGTGCACCTTCATTACAAGATTCTTCACACTTCATGAATGGTGAAGAACTATCCATCCTTGGCTTGAAAGCAAAAGAATGAGCCAAATCCATCAGCCCGTAGACAAAAAGAAATATACCTGCATCTTAAGAAAGAGATAAAAGAAATTGAATCTGATCAGTAAAACAGCATTAGGAGAGATAGGTTGAGAGGATTGCGGATTATAGTATCAAAAAGGAAAAATTATAGATGATATTAGTACTGCAGTCCAGAGAAAGATTTTTGACACCAGTTGCATCATTAGTGTATTCTGACAAGAAATCTATAATCAATGAAATGGGAATTGCAAAATGGAGTTGCAGATACATCAAACAATATGCTTATAATATGAGCACATTGCCTTTGGTACTAGTATGAATTCCTAGAAAAACATAAATGGTTATGCAGAAAAAGCAACAATTTGCTTACCTTGGTGGAAAACAATGGCAAGACATACATCCTAGAATCCTAGTACTATACTATTTAACTTAAAATCCTAAAGTCTTCCTCTTTTGCAATTAACTCATAACTGTATCCAGTATCATATTCTTTAGAAGACCCTGATTAGACTCTTAGAGTGTCATTGACTCATTGTACATTATTTTACAAGAATAATCAAAGTAGCATGTATTCGGAAAAGTATGCTTGAGCAAATCTGTGTATCCAAAATATCTAGCTCAGAAAATTCTTTCCATATATCAATATTGAGGTCATAAATGACAGCACCATACCATATCATTAAAATGTCAAATATGACAGATAGTTAAAAGGAGGAGGCATAGCCGCATATATGAAATCAGGGAATTTTCTACAAGCTGAACAAAAGAAATAAGCTTACCTGTGTCACAACCAAACAGAAAACTGAAGCACTCTCTCAGTGCCAGAAAGTAATACCCAATCTTTAAACAGAAAGCTCATACATGCTCCAAGATGTGATGAAGTTTTGGAGACCGACGACGGAACAATGGTTCGAGGCGGAAAGAAGGAACACCGAACTGCCACCTGTGGGCATCATACATCTCATTCCATGCCTGTACGATCTCATCAATTTTGAAACCCATGCCTGCAATATCATTAAAGAGGCAAACTTTAAGTAAAAGCAATCTTACTAAAAAGTAAAAACAAAAACAGGAATAAATAATTAGGGAGTCTAGTCATGATTCTTCTATGTTACCTTCCAGGGCAGTTTCATTGGAACAATGGTTTTTTATCATAACAGCTATATCTGTTGAAGAAGCTCCAGCAAGTTCAAATTTCTCAACTGAAACATCTAAACATTCTTCCCAAGTTGGTATCCCAAGCTTATATTCAACAACAGAACGCTCATAAAGTAAGGTGCCCCATAATAGGTAGACCTGTGAACTCATGTTTGCAGCCTGCTCAGAAACTTCTTCAGCCGAGACATCTTTAAGCAGCCCATCCAACCCCATTTTCTGCAACTGGGCTTTATAATCATCAAATCTGGAGAGTCCATTTAGGCGCTGCTCCTCCATTTCCTCCCACATCTGCATACCTCTCTCCATGCTGTCCTCAGCCTTGTTATAAAACTCTAGCACCTCCTGGGAAGGACCAGCCTCCATATCAACCTTGCTCCCAATTGCATGGCACCAACAGAGTTTCGCCTGCTCAAACTGCTGCTGTCCGAGAGCAAGAAGAGCTTCATAAAAATCAGGTTTAACTTTCAAAGCCTCTTCATACCTTGTTGCTGCCAGTTTATACTCTTTTTGTGCCCACTCATATGCAGCCTTAATCTGAGCAAGTACAGACTCCCTTGAGCCATCTTCAGTGAAAAATACCCGCTTTCTTGCCCTGGACATGTGAACATTGCCCCAGTTGAACAATGCTAGAGCTGCCATCTCCTGGAACTTGTCTGCAGCAATTTCAAAAAGTTGCTGTGCTTCCTCACTCGTCACAGAATCCTCCATTGCCTCAGAGTATAACTTCATCCCTAGCTCATGAAGATCCAAGTAGGAATCAGAATCAAACCCAACGTGGTTCTTGAAGAGTCTTGCAAACTGGAGAAGCCAGTCCTCAATACATGTAGGCCTCTTTTCAACTTCTATGTATTTCTCAAAATTTCCATTCTCAAAATCACAATTCTTATCACTCTTTTGGATCTCCTCTTTGTTTAATCCTTCATAAGTTGGTTCCTGATCAGGACAAACTCCAACAATATACAATTTAAGTGATCCCTGTGAGCCACCAGATGACTCAGCCAACCTGAGCTCATCTGTTGTAGTGATTGTAACCAAGTCACCCTCTTGATCCTTATATTTCACAAGAACACCCTTCAAGCCCGGAAATCTGTCCAGAACTATATCCCTAAACAATTTAACATTACAATTCAAGGGTAGCTGTGCCCACCTTATATCCTCCCCGAGGATCAGCTTCACCGTCCTACTAATCACTTTTTCTTCCCTAACTGCCTTCTTTTCTTCAGCAACAATCTTCATAACTACTTCCTTTTCCTTGATAACACTCACTTTCTTCTCCTCCACAACCACCTTATCCTCTGTTCTCTTGTCCTCCAAGCTCTTATCACTCTTCTCCTCCATGCTTTTATCACTCTTTTCCTCAACTTTATTTCCCTTATTATTCTTCTTCTTCTTCAATTTCTCCTTCACAATCTCCCGCAGACGTGAAGCCCCAGTTGGCTCAGCATCAAACAACCCTAGTTCTTTCTCATTGACAGTAATACCCCTCTCCTCAATAGCCTTTCTCACCCTATCCAAAAGCTCCAAAGCCGTCAAATTATTGGGTTCACTAATTAACACATTATAAACATCCCTATACGCCAATTCCAACCTATTCAACCCCTGATAGCATCTAGCTCTTTTCAACAAGGCTTTGCTGTATTTGGGTGAGACCTCAAGAGCCAAATTGCATTCATTAATAGCCTTTGGATACTTCCCAACACCCATCTGCATATAACAAGCAGCCAAATTTGTGCGCAAATGAGCAACATCTATGTGGTTCCTAGGAAGAAGTTTGAGGGCTTTTTCATATTTTAACATGGCGCCTTCATTGTCGTGCCTTTGAAAGAGCTTGTTACCTTCTTCTTTCAGCGCCTGCGACATGTTGATGAACATTGCCGTGTCTTCATCAAAGGCCTTCGAGGGTCGATCGGAGACCTTGCTGGGTTTGCCGCCGCTGTCGGGGGACTTCTTCGCTTCATCCCCCGTTTTCTTCTTCCTCGTGGGCCTTCCCATTTGACTAATTCAAATGACTCCCAAAAACGAAACCAAAGAATTGGATTCCAATTCAAGAAATTTGGAAGGAGATAAAGAAACAAGAAAATTTTTTATTATGATTCGAAAGATTTAAACAAAAACAGAGAGAAGAATTGGGTTTGGGGCAATGAAATTAGCGTCTTTAATTGGAATGTGGGAAATCCGGAAAACAGAAAGACAAATGTTTTTACTTTTCTTCATTTTTTTTTTTATAGAAAAAAAAATGTGTCGACATTTCTGGGAAAATCATACCGGCTTTCAACGGACGGCTGTGCCGCCTACAACCACCCATTGTAGGAAGGTTAAAACTCCACCGCTTAACTTTAAAAAAAGAGTTTTTTTTATTCTCTACATTTTAGAATATTCTTTTTTAATCCGGGAAATTTATTATTTAACATCCTTTTAATCCTTCTATTATATCTTTCTTCTTTTTTTATTTTTTTTTTTGAACTTCTATCATCTCTTTGCATGTTACATTAAATGTTAAAAGTTTTAAATAAAAAGACCAAAATCGGCTTTTTTTTCTTTATTTTGAGATTTTTCACATCAGACCCGACTTGTGTATATGAGGAATGTAAAAAGATAATAGAGAGATTAAAAAAAAAAGTAAAATAATAAAATTTAAAAACTAAAAAGAAGTTTTTAAGTAGGAAGACTAAAAATAAATTTTTTATTAAAATAGAGAGTAAAATGAAGTTTTAACTTTTAAAAAATTTGATAAATTTAAATTTTTTTAAAGGGAAAACATTATGCAAGTCATCCTGTCAAAATTGTTTAAGAATATATCTAAAGTTAATTTTTAATTAATATGTTTAAAAACTATTTATTAAACTAAAAATTCTATTCATATAAATCACATATATTAATTTTTAAATTATTTTAATAGGTTTAACTATTTTATTGATTATAAGAAATTTAAAACTATTGAAAACATACCAACAACTTAAATAATTTAATAGTTATTTCATTCTGGTAAAAGTAAGAGATTTTGAATTTGAATCACATGATATACGGGTGAGGTAAAATAAAGGATGCGAGATGTTTGCTTCCATTGTCAGCCAAAAAAAAAAAAAACTAAACCATTGAATATATGTAAGTAAACAAAAAAAAAAATTAAAGAATTATAAATATTAAATTAATATGAAAATAATTATATATGATCTATATAAATAAAATTTTCAATCTAACAATCAATTTTTAAAAATATTAATTAGCATGTAGAATTTTAGATAGATTTTCTAAAAAAAATTAAAAGAATGATCTACCCTACACTATTATCTTTTTTAATGTGTGCTTTAAAATATAAAAAAAAAAAATTATAGCTTAAGATATACATAGAAATGCAATCCATCTTATGAATTTATTAAAAGTAGATCCACTTATACATAAATTTTACACACCACACTTATACAAAATTTTAATTATTCATCTATCAACTTTCAATAATTAAAATTTATTCATATTTATTAAAGATAATTATCTTTTTCACATAAAAAGTTATGATAAATCTCAATTATTGTAAATTTCAACTATTGAAATTGAAAAGATAAATGATTGAGATGTTATATAAATGTAATGTATAAGACTTGTATGTAGATAAATCTTTTCTTTTATTAAAATCAGTTTAATAAAATATTTTTATATTATTTTATTAAAAATATTTTTATAAATTCATAAGATATATTATATTTTTAATGTGTAATTTGAGCCATAAAACATAAATTTCTTTAATATATATATATATAAATTTAACATATATCCTTCACAACAACTAACATTAATTTCACC